ACACGACTATCCACAGGGTAGAGTGGATTTACGTAATCCTGATCATAAATTCTATCTCATGGAAATTGACAACTATGGAGAAAACAATGGTCTTCCACCTGTTGTAGAAAGAAAAATATTTTTTGGTAGGGAAGTTGGAGCAGCTGATAGAAAACTCCTACCAACATATCAGTTAAAAAGTCGAAAATACATAGGACCTACTGCCATGGATGCCGAGATAGCCTTTCTAATGGCAAATCAAGGATTGGCACGACCAGGAAAATTCATCTACGATCCTTTTGTTGGAACTGGTAGCATCCTTATTGCTGCTGCACATTTTGGAGCAATGACTATGGTTTGTGTCGATTTATCTTATTTTTTACGAATCACCATGGTTTTTTGCTAATTTTTTTCTGGGCACATAGAAATTATTTTTGTTTGTTTAGTTTTTGAACTTTTGAAGATTCTAATTGAATTCAATCAGGGTGCAGATATTGACATAAGGGTAGTACGTGATGGTCGGGGACCTGATTGTAATGTTTGGAGCAACTTTGAACAGGTAACGCTTTCATATATATTCTTGCAGCTCAATTTGTTATACATGTGATGCCAATATTCTCTCAAAATCAGATCATTTTATTCTTTTCTCACATTCCCAACCAGTATTAGTGTATATTAGTTACAACTGTGCTCCTAAAGTTTTCGTAAGGTTTTAATGAGCTATGTACTTTTCAAACACACAGGGCTGTTGCACTAGGTGTAGCCACAACAAATATGTGTAAAGTTTACATCCTTGTATGCAAAAGGTTCTTGAGATTTTGATCTGGTAATGATTATAAATGTGACTTGGTCTGAAGTTTTATTTGTAAAAAGTTTAACGTTAGCTATACCAGTTCTGCTATAAAAGTTTTGATGTACTACAAAACGAAAACATACATTGTAGAAACCTGCAAAAGTCAGCAAGTGGATTTCCTATTGGATGCTGAGATTGATGCATGTCAGACATGATATTTAAATTATGGGGAGTCTTTTTAATGTGTTATTG